ATTTTATATTTATTTATTCTTTTATATTTTTTGTTCCTATCATTTACATCGTTTGTCATATTATTCAGTTTGTTTTCTCTACGTTATTAATTTGTCCTGTTATATTTATATTTATATTTATTTATTTATTTATTTATTTATCTATTTATTATTTATTATTTATTTTATATTTATTTATTCTTTTATATTTCTTTGTTCCTTTTATTATCACGACGATTATGATTGTACCTAAGTTAGTTCTTTTACTTTTTCTGTTATTTATATATATTATGTATTGTTTCTGTGCAGGGAGCGTTGAAAACCGCCATTGGCGATATGCTACCCCTGGATAAGTAAATAAAATGAAATTAAATTACGAAATGAATGAACCTACACGAGAAAAAAAACGTGGTGAGGACGTAACGGACTTGTTGAATGATTCAATCGTTTTACTTCTAGATAAAGAATATTACAACAGGCAGATAAAGAATAATATCACGATATTTTGCTGAGTGAATTGATAGGAATTTTCACCACCAATAAAGGGGTTTGATCTAGATTTTCTCTAGAAGGAGCTCAACGTACTTCTCAGAAGAGTCACTGCCTCTTTAGCAAGCGCTATAATAAAAAAATATAATACGCAAGGACCGAATGTTGTCAGTAAGGCCACACCGACTTAATTTTATGGATGACATCCGCGCGCGCATTGATTTTTCTCATGTCGTCCTAAAAAAAAAAGATCACATTCTCCGAGGCTCTTGCCTGGCTCTAGGCCTGGGTAGTCCACGGTAGTTAGCGACAATACGGAGCTGGGCACCCAGGCTATCGAAGCTTCACGACTCAAGAACTCAGTTGCAAATTCACAATACCAGCTTTGTATTCCTTTGGTTTAGTAGCATTGTTGTTTTTGGTCGGAATTTTTTTATTCGCCTGAGCGCACTAGTTTGTGGGTCTGCAGAGGATGTCATCCATAAAATTATGTCGGTGTGGCCTAAACATAAAAAAATATGTGAGGAATCTACCTTGGCGCAGAGGCAGCCTGTCTCTTCTCGAATCTTCCCCTCCATGCTGCCCAGGCCTTCCTTCACGCCGAGAGTCCTCAGGACTGTGGAGACGAACTTTTTCTTCTGTTTGAAGGGTTTTCCCCACCGTGCACTACCCACACCTGGTGCGTCCATGTACATGTAAGAAACAAATAGGATTTGTGACGAAAGTAGTATGTAGAATGCTAGCCGTTGATGACTCTAGTAATCCTTTTTGCATGATAATGCCGGATACAGAGTCGTGGGGCACTCCATTGGCCAAAACCAACCTTTGCCGTGCCGGGCCTCATGCAACGGGCTGGCCCCGGATTTTTGGTGTCCCTGGCTTCCCGACGCACTCACCTGCCGGGCCGGGTGGATAAGACCCTAAACAAACGCAGCATTTAACCACAACACGGCCTCGGAACACGTAACTCCATACAAATCCTCGACGATCGGCGCCATGTTGAATTCAAGAATCGGCCCGCTAAACAGGGACAAATTAGCAGGTGAGTGCGTCGGGAAGCCAGGGACACCAAAAATCCGTGGCCGGCCCTTTGCATGAGGCCCAGCACGGCCAAGGTTGGTTTTGGCCTATGTATGGAGTGCCCCACGACTCTGTATCCGGCATCATCATGAAAAAATGATTACTTGAGTCGTCCACGGCTAGTAGGATGCATGCTCTTGACAACATGGGCTGCTAAATGCAGTAGTATAATTGCACTATTACAAAAACTAAATGTAAAATGCCTGTAGGGTACATAGCTATGGTGAACAAGATACGAGATATAACTCAGCATACTGTCAGTGAAATGTATTGGCTAGAGCAGAAATTTGACGCCATGAATCATTCATGCGTGAATCCACAACAAAACGTTGACCTCAAAGCAGGTTTAGTACCACATACCTTTCCCAAATCCAGTGATGAGGTCGAATATGTAATTTGTCGGCCTGGAGGCGAACAGCTCGGACCTGTCCACGAGCGCGTCCTTGACGGCAGCGTAGCCGTTCAGAACCACCACATCTTCCATCCCGATCCTAACAGTAAAGACGTCCCCGTACTGCCGCCTCCACGCCGTCAGCTTGAGGTGAGGCGCTCGGCCCAAGGCGAGGAGGTGCCCGAGAACAGGCCACCACCCTGCCGGGTAGGGAGGACGGTTCCTCGGGCGTTTGAGATACAACCAAGCTAGAAGAAAGGCAAGGATGAATACAAGAGACGTCTGGAGGTTTAAACGGGGTAGGTAAAGAATCTCTGACGAGAGCACGCCAGCCGCCATTTTCTTCAAGAATGTTGTACCTCTCCAAGGTCATCTCGGGTCATTGACACCTGTCTAGCAAGCTGACCGTAAACACAGCTGTCCTTGAAACGTAAACAGAGCTGTCTCTGTGAAATATAAAACGTGACAGATTCAGGTAGCGTATCGTTACATATCATTTCGCAAGCTAGCGTTTGTTTCATGTCCACATAGAAAAAATAAATACAATAAAATCATAGGAAGTCGGATACTTCCCTAAATCAGATAGACAAGTTATAATTTTAAATGTTGACACATTTTCGTTGTACCTTCTTACAGTCCAGGTAAACAACAAAAAGCCACACGCTTAATTTTATGGATGACATCCCCTGAAGAACCCAAAACTGTTGCGCGCGGACGAATAAAAAAATCCAGCCAAAACGATGCCGCTTATATAAACAACAGGAATACAAAGCTGGTATTGTGAATTTGGCATAAGATACTCTATGTTTTTCGATAGAAGCTTTGTCTAGTTGCATAAGGAATATGAATTTTCTACAGTGAGTGTAAGGTATAGGGGAATGGGTTTTGTACAAATCTTTACAGTTCATTTCTCTCTTTGCTATACAATATAAATTCTATTACAAAATGATATTCTTAATAGACACTATCATAAAAGCAAAATTCAACTAACACTTTGTCTCGTTCCACCCGTCTTTGCAGGATATGCAGTACTAACACGCCACCTAGCGGTTTCCGATATTATTGTTGTACAAACACAGACGTTTGTACCTTGGACTGTTTACATGATTACGTCATCTCCCCTATCCGGTTATTTCACCTGCGCAGTTAGGTGCCAGGTACGAGCGAGCACGGAAAGGTGTGCTTCTTTCGCACCCTCCGGAATTCTAACCCACAGGAGGCTGAACCCGTAACAACCCCGGCAGGACCCTCCAACACACCAAGGCCTCCTCGGCACACCAAGCGACCCGAACCGACGGTAGTAGTGGCAGGTCACCGCTCAAGGACTGACTAAATAAAAAGGTAAGAACGGGCGAGTTTATGTTGTCCGCCATACTGAATCCAAACTAACTATGAAGGCTTGCATGGAGGGGGGGGGGGCATATTGGTTACGAAGTACCTAAAATTTTCGTCGCTGATTCGACGTTTAATTCTCAGAGCTAATTACGAACAATAAAGCGTTACGGCTAATATACCGATTAGGAATTACGATGATTTGGGGCGGCTGTCTTCGTATTAGGAATAATATTATCTTTAGATACACCTTACGAAAAAGGGCATACAGGCCCAGGGTCAACAATTAAACGTTGTCCAACCACAGCACACAAAGCATCAATTACTCAAGATTGCCACACAACAGGCTATCAGTAGAAATGTGCAAAGGAATACAGGAACGATCCAAATAGACTGATCTGAACTAGTTTGAGACAGTTCCTTCGGTGAAGGACTGTTGTCTTCCTAGTGTCTGTTGGGGTGCTACAGGTAGCTATGATCTTTCTAATCGTTTTAAACAGCAGTATTTACTTAGAATACTATTGACGGCAAGAGACATATAATTGTGTGTGTGTGTGTGGTGGGGTGGGGGGTGGGGGNGAAGAAAGGCAAGGATGAATACAAGAGACGTCTGGAGGTTTAAACGGGGTAGGTAAAGAATCTCTGACGAGAGCACGCCAGCCGCCATTTTCTTCAAGAATGTTGTACCTCTCCAAGGTCATCTCGGGTCATTGACACCTGTCTAGCAAGCTGACCGTAAACACAGCTGTCCTTGAAACGTAAACAGAGCTGTCTCTGTGAAATGTAAAACGTGACAGATTCAGGTAGCGTATCGTTACATATCATTTCGCAAGCTAGCGTTTGTTTCATGTCCACATAGAAAAAATAAATACAATAAAATCATAGGAAGTCGGATACTTCCCTAAATCAGATAGACAAGTTATAATTTTAAATGTTGACACATTTTCGTTGTACCTTCTTACAGTCCAGGTAAACAACAAAAAGCCACACGCTTAATTTTATGGATGACATCCCCTGAAGAACCCAAAACTGTTGCGCAATTGCGCGGTATTGTGAATTTGACATAACATACTCTATGTTTTTCAATAGAAGGTTTGTCTAGCTGCATAAGGAATATGAATTTTCTACAAATATTCTAAAAATAGAGGGATGGGTTTTGTACAAATCTTAACAGTCCATTTCTCTCTTTGCTATACAATATGAATTCTATTACAAAATTTTTTTTTATTCGTTTACCAAAGAGATGTACATACAGCAAAATGATATTCTTAATAGACACTATCATAAAAGCAAATTCAAACTAACACTTTGTCTCGTTCCACCCGTCTTCGCAGGATATGCAGTACTAACACACCACCTAGCGGTTTCCGATATTATTGTTGTACAAACAGAGACGTTTGTACCTTGGACTGTTTATGCGATGACGTCATCTCCCCTATCCGGTTATTTCACCTGCGTAGGTAGGTGCCAGGTACGACCGAGCACGGAAAGGTGTGCTTCTTTAACACCCTCCGAGTTCCAACCCACAGGAGGCTGAACGCGTAACACCCCCTCCAACACACCAAGGCCTCCTCGGCACACCAAGCGACCCGTCCCGACGGTAATAGTGGCAAGTTACCGCTCAAGGACTAACTGAATAAACAGGTAAGAACGGGCGAGTTTACGTTACATGTCCGCCATACTGAATCCAAACTAACTACTAGTATGAAGGTCTGCATTGTTGGGGGGTGGGGGGGTGGCATTGTGTGTGTGTGTATGTGTTTTCCTCATACAACCTACAACATTGGTAGTAGGGGGAGGGGGGCTGATATTGTATACTCTCCAAGGCAGAGGTTCTTGGGGGGTATAACAGGTGACTATCAACTTTTCAAGATGGCTAACCTGAGACTAGACTAAAGGTCTGAACCACCAAGAGCCCCTAACCGAAGCTAGGTACTAATTTACTGAGTTAAGGGAGGAAAAAGGTGTAAAGTGCCTTTCCCAAGGACAATACAGAGGGAATGCCAGGGATTCGAAGTCGGAACCTTCAGAGGTTATATAACCCCAAGACCACTTTCAATATTGTGTTAAAACTACAGGAAGGTCATCCCTTCGTTCACTGTGTATTTCTCACCCCACTGGACAAGATCATTCTGATACCCAGAATCCCCATACTTGGTTTGTCGGTCTGATACTTGGGAAAGACACGTTGTTTTAATAGACATCTGTTTTTTTTTTCTTTTTATTGTATTTACACAATATACATGTTCACATGTATCACATTATTAGAGGTATGAAATTGCCCCTTTTTCTTTTGGCATTTGAGTGTGATATGCTACTTTCTATGCATAGTATATCACTCTCAAATGACAGAAGAAAGTGGACGTTTGTTTCTGACATACATTTCTTGTCTGACCGAGATGCCCTTAGGCCAGACATTCCACCACAGTTCACTAGTGCCAGGCCTCGAAATTAAGTTTTCTTCCTATTGCCCCAGCACTGTCTAGAAAATAGATTTCAATTGTCCCAAAGTAAGGATGAACTGTCCCAACCTGATTTTTCGGAAAGTGTGTATGACAACAACTTGAAGTCAACTTTATTTCGCTTCTGTTCTGTCTCCCAGAGAAGACAGAAAATTCGGAGGAACTTTTCCGGAGCCAAAAGCTAGGACGTGTGCTTGATACAAAAGACATACAGAAGGGCTGACATTCTAGATCTGATGTTGATTATTTTACTATTGTCCCAAAAATGTCCCAAAGTGTCCCAGCTACATTTTAGTGGCCTGTGGCTATCGGGACACTGTTAATTTCTAGCCCTGTAGTGCTGTCAGCCGTTGACATAATGTGTTTAGTCGGCTGTATAGTAACACGATACGCTGTACTGGTAACTGTATTCTCACTGGTACGGATTTGACAATGGACGCATAATTCTGTTAACAATGGCCACCTTTCTATGCGTTCTTCTCACCCGAATTCGCGACAGGCACCGAGACAACATACATGTAGCGCTTTGTACCTCAACTACAGACTTAAATGTGAACCACCTTTCGAAAAAGGAGAATTATGTGTAGCCTCTAAAAGGCTTCGGGAGGCGGCTGGAAAGAGTAGAAATCGGACAAATCGAGAGATAACATGCCAGGGGAGTTTGTCTGCTGGGAGAGAGAATATTTTGCCGCGCCCAACTAGTCTCTCCAGCAGAAAAAAAAAACTCCCCTGGCATGTTATCTCTCTATTTGGCCAATTTCTACTATTTCCTCGTTGTCTTCGTCCAGAACCATGGCGTACCACGCTAAGGCTATCCACGGGCTGGGCTGGACGCTGCTGGTCCTGGGGACGCTCAGCATCATCCTCGGTACCGCCGCCGTCGCCACCATGGCGTCCAAGAACCGGCCCACCTTCCTCACCTACATCGCCGGGCCCATCTGGAGCGGCATATTCGTGAGTACAAGCCGTATATAGAATGTGTTTGTATATATGTGTACATAACATATCTGGAGCGGCGTATTCGTGAGTATTTGCCGTATATGATTATGTAACTTTTTATCTGGAGTGGCGTATTTGTGAGTACCAGCCGTATATATATATAACATGTGTTTGTACCTGGAACGGCGTATTTGTGAGTACCTGTCGTATATAGCATGTATTTGTATCGATCTGGAGTGGCGTATTTGTGAGTACCTGTCGTATATAGCATGTATTTGTATCGATCTGGAGTGGCGTATTTGTGAGTACCTGTCGTATATGATTGTGTTTATATCTGGAGGGGCATACTTGTGAGTACCTGTCGTATATAACTTGTCACCGTGTCATGACAGGTGTTTATATTATCTGGAATTACGGCGTACACTAGTATGCATCAGCGTCAGGCATTACGCTAAAATGTTAAGTAAAACGGGGAATTCGAAGGTAACTACTTAGTGTGTACCATTGGCGCCTCATAGCAGCATTGCAGCTTTTATGCCGAGCCAATAAGGCGGGAAACGACTCATAGTAATGACTTTGTGAGGGCAGAAATACCTTTTGCTGGTCCCATAATGCTACAATTTACGGCAATAACTGATATTTTATATGTTTTTCTTATTTATTGAAAATGCAACAAGACATTACACTGACTCTCAAGGCAGCAAAGCTGATATTAGAGAGTCAACATATAAGGACAAAACACAAAGGGCACATAATTTCAATACAATATGAAGTACAAGAACAATCATAAAAACTTAACCTATATCAATCTGATTAATTAAGTACATATATATACATAATAAAAATAACGCATTTGGAGGTCAGAGGTCCAGAAAAAAAAATATATATACTACCTCATAAGAGAACATTGGTACTTAATGACAAGGCTAGGAGGAACAGCTGGAAGTGCCTAGACACGGTTTGTCTAATAATTCATGTTTCCCTCACGCTTTGATATTTCAGGTTCTCATCACTGGAATCCTGGGAGTTGTGAGCGGGAAGAAGCCCACAAACAAATGTCTGGTGAGTTGATATAGAGCGTTATTTTACACATACATGTAGTTGGGGAAGCATTAATTCTTACGCACAAACTACATTGGAAGGCCATATACCCCTTTTATATCTAAAATGATAGGAAGAAGTAAACAATAGAAGGCAATATTTCATGCGACTTAATTAATTTTCAGGCATGTATTTGCAACAAACGCCATGTGAATTATTGTTGCTGTATTGGGCTGATAGTACCCTTTTTGTTTTGTACAGTCAAACATTTGGGTAAATCTGATCTCTTGTGTTGGAAATTACAGTTAAAAAAACGAATAAACGGGACGTATCGTTGCTTTGACTCCACTTTGACCTTGTTGAAAGGCGGCCATGTAGGCCGAACAAGCATTTGGAGGTAAAATATAGGACTCAGAACGCACAACAAGCAATATGGCCCCACGCGAGCCTCGCTTTCGTGCGAGATCACGCGCGCTCACGCCAAGGATGTGCTCTCGCGAGAATAGAATCAATATGGCGACTGTATTTGGAATGAGGTCTATTGAATTGAGTTTCATGCTTAAAATGTTCCCCTCAGATCGTGGCGTTTATGGTTCTGGGAATCTTCACCATCCTCGCGACCTTCTGCAGTTTCGGCTTGGCGGTGACCGGAGCAATCGTAGACAGCTGCTACAGGCACTGGCTTGATTATCCAGACTACCACGACTACGTGTTCCCTTCTGACTACGATTACTACAACGGCACTGCCACGAACTTTACTACGGTCCATTATTTGTAAGAAGCTTTCCTTTCCCGCATATAGTAGGGGGGATTTATTCCTTAAGCTAACCGACATGTTGTACACGCAGTCGTCCCTCAGTAAGACATCTGGATCCCCATAGTTTTGAACTTATTCAACCTGTCACACGACCGGTTTCGCCTGTGTGGCTTCTTCAAGTGTACAGAGGCTAATGACACAAGTGCACGAAGTTCTCACTTATATACCTTTCCAGTGCATAGTGCCCTCAGGTTAGTTATGGTCTCGGACACGAGTTTTTTTTTTCACGATTTTGTCAGAGGGCAACAAAATTTCTTCTTCAAAATCGGGCGAAAATCAATGCGCACGGTGGTGTTATCCATAAAAATTTACATGCTGCAGCTGTAGCCTTATGTTCAATTTTTGGCGACGTCTCAGGGAGGAGCGTAATGATAAAGTATTGTGTGCAGTTGGCAAAAATTCTAGGAATGGTACAGGCATTTTGTCCAGAGGTATGGAATGTGCACAGGCATGTCTCTGACCCACATCTATGCCCACATTCTTGGAAACCCTTGAGAAGATCTGTCTGCCCGAAAGACCCTACTTTCTGTGGCCCCGGGGCTCATTCACTATACACTCAGGGGAGGGGTGCACTGTATCTGTCGAGACTTCACAGGTACCAAGTCTTTCTCAAAATCATGACATGATGGCAGTGCCATGCAAACAATACCCCTAACAGCAAACACCGTCGCCATGGCAATGCATGTTTTCATTGCCAGTCTTGTTTTTTTCCGCAGTGACCTTGATCGTCACCCGCCTGAACCGGTACCCGGCTACAGCAATAGGGATGACTGCACGACCACGGCTAGGGCTCTGCATGGGGTTAACGCGCTGCTGGCGTTCGCGGAGCTGGTTCTGGGGTTCGTGGTCTCCATCATGTGCTGCTGCGGACTGTGCAGCGCCACCAACACACCGGTCAGTACTACAGTTCCTTATCAATCTTTCGTGATTCTACTACCTATACTATACGCAAATGTGCCAGTTATTATGTTTTCCCATGGAGATGAAAGCACCTTGGTTTACCGAAGGAAAACATTGTTTTTGCTCAGTTTCTTATTCTTGTTCATCTCAAAACAGTGACCTCTGACCTGGCCAATGGCCTCATTTGTTGACGTCTGTCACCATGGTAACTGGTGTCCGGTTACGTGATTGCATAGTAGGCATTTAGACTCCTGTCACCATATACATGTATGTGAATGTGTTTGAGTAAGAATTAACAGAGCAGACCATGTCCGAAGGTAAACAGTATGTATTTGCTTTGCAAACGTTAATTTTCTAGTTCTTGTTTGTTTGTGCACTTTTACTACACTAGGATTAATGTGCATTGGGATTCAGCCAGCCCCCTTACCCTCCCTCATGCTTTTCACACTCAAGGCCGCACAACACAGTATTTATGGGCGATCAAAAGTAGTCCGGGCACAAAGTAGTGCTGCACAATACTAGAGAAGGGTGCAGAGATTGTTTTGTGCATGGTATCGAGATAGAACCTGTGGTAAATGTTAGAGGAATACGTCAGTTTTAAGACTGTAAAAGTTGAATTATGGTGCGTGTTCAGTCGGCGTAGATTTGCGCTTGGATACTTGTCCCGCCTAGTACTGTGCCTCGGCTGTAGTTCCATGACCTCCGCAGTGTCGCTAATAAAAGAGGGCATGAGAAAAGAACTAGCCGGCAAATCTAAGCTCATTTTCACATATTTTGTACACTATACCCCGAATTTAAACATATCAAAAATCTGAACCTTGATTGTGCACCCTACTATGATTTTCAGTGAGTCGAACTGAGTCACTTTGGGGTCCTTAACTATAGAAATCCCCATAGGGCTAATACTGTGTTGTGCCGCCTCAATGACTTGCCAGAATCATAACGTAACATTGGTTCCCTTCACATGGTACGGAATATTTTTTTCTAGACACCACAGATTAAGGTCCTTTTCCCGATAGGATAGAGTTGTCCGGATTAAGCCAAATAGATTTGGCTTTTATCCGGCTCGATCCTGGCAATTCTGTCCTGGTGGAAATAAAACCGTACAGCCCAACGCGAGAAACAGCTGCGAACATGAAAATACCAATCTCTTACAATACCCTTCCGCGGAAGGATGTCTCCTTCCCCGAAAGGTAAAAAGGCCATAGTGGGGCGGCCAATGGTTACAGATTGCAAAGATAGACTCCCTTTGACCCACAGAATCTGTATGAATAAGCGGTTATAAGATGATTAGATTATTTGGTGTTAATAATTCTGCTCTTGGCTTTTTTCCTCACAGAATGTGATCTACGGTCCTGGCGTGGCTCCAGCACAGATCATGTCTGACGGACAGGGCGGGTTCATCCTACTGCAAGCAGGTAGGTCCTTTGGCGACTTTTGAGGCTCCCCCCTTCGTGCTTTTTTGTACCATGGTGCAACGTATTCATAGCCTCTACCAGGAACGGGAGACGGATGGAAAGAGTATAAATTGGCCAAAAAGAAAGATGACATGCCAGGGGAGTTGGTCAGCTGTAGAGAACAGTTTAGGTGCAGCAAACGGCACTAGCTAACCTAATCCACTGTTAGCATGTCATCTCTCTCTTTTTTTTGGCCAATTTCTACTCTTTCCGGCCGACGCCTGGTAGAGCAAATGTATTCCTCAAACCAATTAAGCGACATCTTTCAATATAAATGGAACAAATTCACACTTCTATACCTTTTAAGTGCTTTAGCCTTGTTTGTAGATATCATTGAATCATTGTAAGTACATATGGCTAAAAAGGAGATAATTGCATGGCCTGTGTAAAGAAGTTTGAAGCAAGTGAAAAGTACTGATATATTGACGTCTGGTTGTTCCAGTTCCTGCTTCGCGACAGTTCGGAGCTCAGCAGCAGGTGTTCCTGGCGCCCCCCGGCGGTCCACATGCGCCTCTGCAGGTGTACTACACCGGGGGACCGGCACCGCCGCAGTACGCCCAGCCGGGCGGGATGGGGGCCGCTGCAGCACCGCCGCAGTACGCCCAGCCGGGCGGGATGGGGACAGCTGCAGCACCGCCGCAATACGCCCAGCATGCCGCTACCCAGGCGGCAGAAGCGCCGCCCATGGAATCTAAGACTCCACTCTCTGCATAGACTCTGCCATTACTGTGTTATACAGATGCCAGATATGTACGTACAGGAGAATAGTCCAGCGATTCTCTACGTACGTACCATGACTAAGTCATGAAAATAACAATATTTTATACACACACCAATATGGATTCCGTAAAAACCACTCAACATATATGGCCCTATTACAACTAATAAATAAAATTACGTCAGCTTTGGAAAAAAACGAATTCAGTATCGGGATATTCCTCGACTTATCGAAAGCTTTCGATACTGTGGATCACAAAATATTACTTAGCAAACTAAACTCTTACGGCTTCAAAGGTACAGCCCTTCAATGGTTAAAAGATTATTTGTCCGATAGAATGCAGTATGTTTCGAGTAATAACTTCACTTCATCTCTAAAATCAGTAACATGCGGAGTCCCACAAGGATCTATACACGGTCCTCTTTTGTTCCTGATTTATGTCAATGATCTTGCCCTGGTATCAGTCAAACTCTTCACTCTATTATTTGCCGATGATACTAATCTTTTCTATTCTCATAATAATTTTCATACACTAATAACAACCGTTAATGAAGAGCTATGTAAACTAAACGACTGGTTTAAGTTAAATAAGTTGTCTCTTAACATAGATAAAACTAACTTCATTATTTTCACAGGTAGAAGTAAAAAATACGACAAAGAAATAGCTAATATATACATAGACAATAAACCAATCAAACAGGTATGTAACACACGGTTTCTAGGAGTCCTAATTGATGAGAAACTCACATGGAAGTTTCATATTGACCGTATTTGTAAACAAATCTATAAGAACATTGGTATAATAAGAAAAGTTGCAAGTTGCCTATCACGTAAAATATTTATCACTCTGTACTATACTTTGATTTATCCCTACTTAACATATTGTAATATAGTCTGGGCTAGTACATACACTACTTCAATCCGACCGCTGCATCAGCTGCAGAAGCGCTTCGTTAGGATTGCATCTAATGTCCCATTTTTTTGCTAACTCTGCGGCTCTATTTTACAACTTGAAAA